CAACTACTAGTTGCCTAAATATACTTTTTAATATCTGACTGTGGTGATAAAAAAATCCACTGCATTTCTTACTAAATCTGCAGTTTTAAAAAGTGCAAGTAAATGTTGATATTTTGAAAAAAAAAATTGTGTACTTAAATATTTTCATTTTTTACTAAGATTAAAGTTGAATTTTTTTGTAAAGTGTATAATACAAATAAACAAATACAAAAATATACATATAAAAACAACATTTATATGATCAAATTTACTGTCAATATTTTTTAATTGTAAAAGTATCTTCTATTATTTTTCTTAAACTAGATTGATATATAACAGAGCTGACGATTACACAGTTGTCGACAACAGAGTTGACAAAAACAGAGTTGACAGTAACAGAGTTGATGATAATAGAGTTGACAGTAACAGAGTTGATGATAATAGAGTTGACAGTAACAGAGTTGATGATAATAGAGTTGACAGTAACAGAGTTGATGATAATAGAGTTGATGAACAGAGTTGACAGTAACAGTTGATGATAATAGAGTTGACAAAAACAGAGTTGATGATAATAGAGTTGATGAACAGAGTTGACAGTAACAGAGTTGACAGTAACAGAGTTGATGATAATAGAGTTGATGAACAGAGTTGACAGTAACAGAGTTGATGATAGAGTTGACAGTAAAGAGTTGATGATAATAGAGTTGATGAACAGAGTTGACAGTAACAGAATTGACAGTAACAGAGTTGATGATAATAGAGTTGACAGCAACAGAGTTGACACTGTTTATGGAAACAAATATGATGGTATCATTTTGTGCTTTAGCTGCAGATGCTAACCTCACACCAGATTCCACATGGCGTGTATAAAACACATTTTTTTGCATTTTCAGCATATTATTGTTTTAACAAAGTAAATTAATCTAAAATCACAGTAACACATAATTAATGTACTATTGGTGTATCCTAAACATTTTGCACAAATGAATGAGAAGAATATTGACACACCCACCTCACACACACCCACAAACACTCACATCCACACTCTCACAAAGACACATACACATACAAACTCACAAACACACACAAACATACACACACACACACACACCCACACATTAACAATTTTATTGATTAATAAAAGTCTTTTCTTCAGATCTATCATTGCAGTTTGACTCATTTCTGATTCGTCTGCCTCTAAAACCAAACAACACAAGCAGAATTCTGTACATCACATTAGTCCAGATGGCCTAAAGAGAAAACCGCACGTGTGTGTGTGTGTGTGACCGTTTGTTTTCCAAAACATCAACATGATCCCAGATCAGTGTGTCTGAAGAGTTTGAAGTCTTCGATATAATCAGAGTTGTTTGTGACGCCTCTAAACATGGGCTGATCAAAGCGTTTCCACTGCGGATCGTCTGACCATCACACACACACAAACACACACAAACACACTATTCTAGGCTGTGGGATGCGATGGTAAATTACTACCCGGGAATAAGTGCCCCATCCTAACTGAAATATGCACCGGGTGTAGCTGAAACACAATGACCTGATGTGTTTGTGTTTATGAAAGAATCCTCTTCTGCTCACTAGAGGCCAAACTTACAGAAATATAATAATCAATAATCAAAACAGTCAGTATTTGATTATGTCTCCTGGATTTCAGCAAGCGTGCTGAGCAGAGGAGACAGAATCAATTCAATAATCATTTCCACAGACTTCCACAGACCTGTATAGATAAACGAGTGCTTTGAAACACACACACACACACACACACACACACACACACACACACACACACACACACACATACATATACACTTTCTCTCCATCCCTCTCATACACACACAAACTTTCTCTCCATCCCTCTCTCTCTCTCTCACACACACACACACACACACACACAGACACACACACACACACACACACAGACACACACACACAACCACACTCTTACTCTCTCTCTTTTACACAAACAACTCAATCACAAACACACACTGTCAATCACACAACTACACACACACTCTCTCTCTCTCTCTCCCTCTCTCTCTTTTACACACACACAAACTCAATCACAAGCACACACACTCTTGCTCTCTCTCTTACAGACACACACAGTCTCTGCTTTGAGTACATCCACACAGTGTGTTTCCTGTTCAGCACGAGCTGCAGCTGAATATCATATCATCATATTTACAACAACATTGCGTTCACACCCACACACACGCTCACACACACAGCTAAAGCTCTTTACACATTCACCATACTCAAACACAATTTACACTAATGAAAACTGCACAAGTCAATTAGTATTGTTAATGCTGCTGGTGAACTTCAATCTCTCGCACACACACACACACACACACACACACACACACACACACACTACTGCAGATGGTTATATTATCTGTGCAAGCGTCATGTGATGTGGTTCTGCTGCTCTGAAACGCAGTAACACAAGAGAACCGCAGCAGATCACACACGCGGTAAAGAAGAAGACAGAAACACAGAGCACATGTTACAGGCCACTCTGACCACACAGCGCACGTTCAACACACACACCTACTTTCAGTTTAAATCATGTGCGCGCATTTGTGCTTATTTCCAGTAACTGACCCTTTCAGAGCAGGGTTCATGAGTATACAGCAATCAGCACTTCACTAATCGCCATACATAAACTCAATAAAAACTACATTGATCGAAAATAGAAAATAATATAAAAAAATTATAAACATTTATATTAAAAGTAAATTCCAAATAAAGGATGATTTAATCATAAATGTGTTATACTAAAAACATTAAAAATTTTGAAAATGTAAGATAAAATACTTAAAAATCTTACACAAAACACTAATAAAACACTACTAATTTAATTATCCTTTTCTAAACAATAAAAAAATTATCAGCATAAGATAATTTCTAAAAATGGTTAAAAGTTATAATAATAATAAAATAAAAAAGCAATGTAAAACACTTTCTTTCAAGAGTTAACACTCAGATATTGCTTGATAATATTAGTAGGTTTGGCATGCTGTTCTGGAAGAGAGCCCTGAGCTCGGAGATAACTAAGCCAGGGCTCCCGCATGGTCAATGAGCATGTGAGGGGGTCAGAGATCAGGTAGTTCTCAAATGATCCCCTTGGTAAAGGGAAAAAAAGGAGGAGATAGGGTGGAAGGGGGGATTCTTCCAAAACGAAGATAAGGCAGTAGGGTGAAATCTGTCTATTTATTGAAGGCTTTGATCACTCTGATTGGATTACTGCTGATTACAGATGAGGGACCAGCCGTGATCAATCATGTCTTTTATGAATAATTAAAATATTATCAGCAAGTAACGCTTTCTAAAAATGTCAAAAGTAATAAAACATTACAAATGTAAAATAAAATGAAAAAGCAATTAAAAACACTTTAATTCAAGAGTTCACACTAATACATTGCCTGATAATAATAGCAGGTTTTTCATGCTGTCTCGGGAGAGAACCCTGAGCTCGGTGGTAATTGAGCCAGGGTTTCCGTCTGATCATTTAGCATATAAGGGGGTCTGAGATCAGGTAGGTCTCGATAGCTCTACTTGTCAAAGAGAGGAGATGGGGTGGAAGTGAGGGTTCTTCCAAAACGAAGATAAGGCAGTAGGGTGAAATCTGTCTCTTTATTGTAAGCTTGGATCAATCTGATTGGATTATTGATTATCTGATAACAGATGAGGGACCAGCCGTGATCAATCATATCACGTGCTTCTCTCGAAATTAGTTTGTAAGACTTCACAAAGTGTAAAAAAAGCAACACTACAGTTATACAAAATAATAAACAATCAACATACAAATGTAAAAAGCACTTTAAGAATAAATAAAATGTTAAACAAAAATTGGTTACACTTTATTTTGATTGTCTATTTGAGTATTAGTAGACTGTCTGCTTAATATCTGCTGATACTGCTCCTTCAACAGACATTTAACTGACTATAAGAAACTTTGCAAGTACATGGCAACTTACACTAACCCTAACCCCAACCTAACAGTCTACTTATAATCTAATGAGAATTAGTTGCCATGTGGATGCAATGTAACTTCCATTCAACAAACGGACCATCAAAATAAAGTGCGACCAATAAAATAAATAATCAACACAAAACACATTCTAAAGTCTTAAAAAGCAACAATATGCATTAAATAAATTGTAAAATAAAATAATCAATGTAAAAATTAATAAAGTGTAAAAAAGCAACACTAATACTGTAAATAAACATATTAAATAAAATAAACAGCCTAAAACACTGTGTAAAAATGGAAAAAAGAAATATAACACTATAATAACATTAAAAATGTAGATATAATGTTAAATAAAATAGATCATCAATATAAAACACTTTATAGAGTGGAAAAAGCAAAACTAGAAATGTAAATAAAATAAACAATCAACATAAAATACTTCTTTTTTTAAATGTAAAAAGTACCAAAACACTAAATATAATGTTAAATAAATTAAATAAGCAATAGAAAACAGTTCATAAAGTGTAAAATGCCACACTACAAACATACATAAAATAGATAATCAACATAAACACTTTCTAAAAATGAAAAAAAAAAAATAAATTAACCCAAAAAAAGTTCAATAAAATAAATAAGCAATAGAAAAAAACACTATCATATGAAAAAAGAAACACAACTGTAAATAAAATGTTAAATAAAGTAAATAATCAACTTAAAACACTTTATAAAGTGTAAAAAACAACACTAGAAATGTGAATAAAACAAAAAATCTATATTAAACACTGTCTAAAAGTTTTAAAAGTACTATAACACTAAATAAAATGTGAATTTAAATTAATAAGCAACATAAAACACTTTATAAAGTATAAAAACAAACTGTAAATAAAATTATCAACACAAAACACTTTCTAAAAATGCTAAAAAGTTCTATACAGTTTAATAAAGGAGCTGAACATGTGCTTGCCAAAATAAATTAACATCCACAAATAAAGCCCAAAGTTTGAGAAGTGCAAATAAAGTAATCTCTGACCTTCTTGAGCTTGTTGTGGATCAGCGTCTGGAAAAGTCCGGAGGCAAAGAGAGCAATTCCCGCCAGCAGAAGCAGAGCGCCGGCGGCTCCACAACTGTACATGCAACAGGAGCTTTTCCTCATGGTGAGGTGTGTGTGAGTGTGCGCGTGTATGTTATCCTCCTAAACAAACACACAGAGGATTACTATGAAGCAGATCCTGCGAGATACACACACGCTCTGGAGAGAAGAGTAGAGCACATGCAGACGGCAGCGCAGCATATGAATGAATGAGTGCAGTGTGGTGAAAACACATCCGAGAGGGGGAGGAGAGAGACAGAGAGAGAGAGAGAGAGAGAGAGAGAGAGAGAGAGAGAGAGAGAGTAGTGTGTGTGTGTGAGAGAGAAAGAGAGGGAGTTTATGTATGTCAAAGAGAGAGAAGAAACACAGAGAGTGACTGAGAGAAACAGTGAAAGAAAGACTGAGTGTGTGTGCGAGTGTGTAAGAGTAAAGTATAATAACGTTTCTGATTTTGATTGTAATGTAATAATTTTGTAAAGCTGCTTTGAAACAAGAGCTATACAAATAAACTTGATCTAAATTAACAGAGAAAAAGAGTTCAAGTATGTGTGTGTGTAAAAGAGAGAGCAGAGTTAAGGTTACTAGCTATTATAACTTTATTAGTCATTCATTCATTTATTTTATTTTCGGCTTAGTCCCTTTATTAATCTGAGGTCGCCACAGTGGAATGAACCGCCAACTTATCCAGCATATGTTTTACGCAGCAGATGCCCTTCTAGCAGCAACACATCACTGGGAAACACCCATACACACTCATTTACCCACATACACTACGGTCAATTTTAGCTTCCCAATTCACCTGTACTGCATGTGCTTGGACTTGTGAGGGGAACTGAAGCACCCGGAGGAAACCCACGCCAACACGGTGAGGACATGCAAACTCCACACAGAAAGGCCAACCTGCAGAAATCTGCAGGCTTTTAGCCCATCATTGAGTCAGTCTATTTATTTCAGTGGTTCAAGACCTGTGAAGAGATGATGCCAACCACAGAGCACTTCCAGAAGTTTCCATAATCCTGGACCAGGCCGTATCCTGAGCAGATGCTGTGGTGGTCATGGTGGAGTGGAGAGCATGAGACTGATTCCTGTAAGACCCCAGTGACAGACGAGTCTCCACACTGATCCTATGGGCCAGCCTGAACACCCGCCGGTGACCTACTAACACCTGTAGCTTCTCCATGATGGATGTACAGCGTTCTTCAGTCTCTGGCACCTAGACTGCAGCTCTGCTCAAAAAAGTTTGACCAGAGGAGAAATGGTTGTGCCCAACAGAGCCTGGTTTCCCTCCAGGTTTTTTCCTTCACTTTGGTCAATTGGTGAAGTTTGTTTCTCCACTGTCGCCAATGGCTTGCGTGGTTTTGGACTTGTGGAGCTGCACATGGATGGATTTGCTCATCAGTGTTTGGACTTTCAAATTAAACTACACTGAACTAAACTGAACAGAACTTAAACTTTGAAATCTGGACTGACACTGTTTCAACCTACAAGAACTTCTGTGTTCAGCTGCTTTGACACAATTTACATTGTAAAAGCACCTGAGAAATAAAGATGACTTTGAAATGACTTGCTTTGTTTACCAAATAAGTGGATCTAATTGGATTTGCATTGTAAACATTAAATAAAAGGCCTTATTTTTTATTTAATCTATTAAGTTTCTAGTTACAATACTGCCAAAATAATTCCGCAAACATCGGCAGATCTTTTACAAAATTCTGAGCAGAAGAAGCAACAATTGTCCACAGATTCTACTAATTACTTTATGAGTTAAAGTTAAAATATATAAACTTAGTTAACTCGCAGCGATGCAACTGACGTGGGCAGGTCACGTGATTATAGCCCCTTTCACACATACAGACCTTTCTGGAAAATTATCGTCAATTTCCAAAAAGGTCTGCATGTGTGAACAGGCCCTTTTTGAAAATACCGGTAAATTCGTTCTGGCTATTTTACGGGAAGAGAAGTTGTAACATTAGCGGTAATTTGCCGGAATGCTGTGCTGTGTGAACGCAGAAGGAAGATTGCCGGAAAGAGCGCGTGCACATCTAAAAACGTGCTGACGTGAGACGTCTACTTTAGCTAATCAGAACACTCCGACGCATTCACGTCCACGTGGTTTATGAAAATAAAAGCCTTTGAATATTTTTCCAGACACATTTAGCTGCTAGATGCTAGTCAGATAACGTTTATATGTTCTTCTTAATGCCAACTGTGTAAATAATCATCGATAAGATGCTTTTGATAAGCCGTTGTTTGTTTACTCTCTAGCTCTGCTTTCTTCAGTTGCATGTGCCTGTGAAGCAGCCGGTGAGCGAAGGCACACACACATATTATGTACATCTTGACATGCGAAAGTGTTTCTCCATATGTTTTTATCGAAGTTGTTCACAATACTGATCCATCCACAGAGTTTGGGATGTAGTTAAATGTTGCCATTTAGAGCTCATTTCTGGTTAATTAAGTCAGAATTTACCGCTATTCTGGAATGGATGTTTAAATGGACTTTTTCGAAAAAAGTCCGTAACGTCCTCGCCTGTGTGAAGAAGCACTTTTTTGAATTCACCGGTAAAGCCGTCCCGGAAATTTTCCAGATTTTTACCCAACCCAAGCTCATTCTGGAAACGTAGCCCCGCGGACGTTTCTGGAGACCGCGATTTACGTGGCCGGAGGTACGTAAAGGCCACGTTTGTTTTTTTTTCGAGCGAACGCTGCGGGGCGGTGTGGCACCGCTCCGACCCTCCTCTTCGCACTCGCCGGAGTGGAGGGCTTTCCCGACGCAATCAGAAAACGCGGTCGGAATCGAACCGCGAATTTTAAATTTTTTTTTTCGATCCGGCAGCTTTTCGCGCGAGAACGGCGCGGGCGCGAA